CAAATGCATGATCGTTAAGATTAGCCTGAGTTTTAACAAAACACTAGAAAATGTATTATTATATATGTATTATATGTATTATATAAATTGTATAGCTATTTTATTTAGATTAGTAATATTATTTCTAAAATATTTTAAAAAAATTTTAAAAAGACTTTCCCATACTATTTCTAAATGAAGAATATTCCTACAATTTTGTTCAAAATAAAATAGCTATAAAATATATTTGTCTTATATTACATCTTGAGTAGCCATGAACTAATCATTAATGGTTAAGCATTAAAAAGTAAAAAAGTCATCTTAGCTGATTGTCTATACGTTTATAAGGAAATAAGCTTATGTAACTGGAAGGTCGCAAATTTTAACTGAGTAATCCTGCACTAGGGGGCAAAATAGAGCAATATACTCAAGGCCTGAAACTCCACTACTGAAAATAAAGTGCTAATGAGAAGTAATTCTTGATTAGTAAGCTAAAAATGTGACGCTGTAAGCATGTCTCTTCCCAGATGAACCACTTTAGTGGTTTCTTAGCAAGAGGGGGGAATATTAATGCAATCACAACTTTTATGTTTTTTATTTGCATTTTGCATGAACACGTTTAAGAGAAGTTGTTGATTTTTTGTTAAAATGATTGTTTTGGGTCCAGCCCACTTGATATAAGTGTAATGTGATTCGTTACCTACCATGACTCTGATACCCCTGGATTATAGCTTCTATAATGTAAATGATAACAGGAACTAACATGTTTTGTGGACATTCGACAACTTTCAATGCAATAAAGTATTTAGATATCCTCAGAATTATTTGAAAATTGCTTAAATCCCATTTCCAATCAAATAATTAATATCTCTGACTTCTCAGATCAGTCCTGCTGTCATGAAGACCAAGGAACTGCCCATGAAGCTTCATGAGGAAAGAAAGATGGAGAAGGGTATTAAAACATAGGCAAAGCTTTGAATCTTCTTAGGAGCACTGTGAAGTCCATTATAACAAAGTAGAAAAAAATAATGGCACAAACCAGATACTACTAAGATCAGGCCAAACTCAGTGCTCTGGCAAGAAGAGCAAGTGTTAGAGAAATGTCCAAGATTCCAGCTACAACACTGAAGGAGTTACAGAGCTCACTGGCTGAATTAGGAGAACCTGTGCAGACCTCAACAACATAATCAGCTTGTCACAGAGAGAGTGGCCAGAAGGAAGCCACCTCTGAGAAAGGCCATGTTAGAAAATCTGAAAGCTTTTGGAAAAAAGATTTTGTGATCTGATGAGACTAGAGTTGAGCCAGTTGGTCTAAAGCCAGAGCATAATGTCTGGCACAAGCCAAATACAGCCCAATACCCAGGAAAGACTATTCCTGTGATCAAGCATGGTGGTGGTAGCATCATGCTCTGGGGTTGCTTTTCAGCAGGAGGAACTAGAATGCTTGTTGCCATCACAGGAATAATGGATGGAACCAAATATGAGCAAATTGTTAAGGAGAACCAGTTCCAGTCAGTCAGACGACTGAGTCGAAGCAGAGACTTAAACCCAATTGAAAATCTGTGACCTGCCAATTGCTGTCCACCAACATTCTCCATCTAGTTTGGCAGAGTTGGAGAAAATCTGCATTGAGGAGTGGAAGAAAATGTCAAAATCAAAATGTGCAAAAAAGTTTATAGTTTTAAGTTTCGGGTTTATTAGACATGTGCACAAAATGTCAATGACAATTGTACATTGAAAAGCTTGTGATGAGGCTCAAGTACTCTAGAGCTGGCAATATATATATATATATATAGATAGATAGATAGATAGATAGATAGATAGATAGATAAAGGGAGGAGGAGAGGAAAGTGGGGTAAAGAGATTATTTAAAAATACAATGTATACAAAATATGCAGAATATATTATTATGTATAGTATGTATGCCTAGTTAGTATGTAAGTAAAGTATAAATCATAACTGTAAACACTGGAATATGTGCAGTTGTAGTGTCTGAGCAGTCCTCTATAGGCATAGGAGAGTATAAAAAGCAGATGAAGCAGCAGTAAAAAGTAGCATTTACATTTTTTTTTAATTTACTATTTAATTAGATGTAGTAGTATGTGTAATGTGTAATAAATATGATCAATATATCAATATATCAATATACTGCACAGAGACAGGACTTAGTCCTTAGCAGCAGTGAAGTGATAATAGTGTCCTTAGAAATACTGCAACATCCCCAAAACTGACAGAACGTGAATGTGAAGAGATTGTCCGTGAGTGTCCTTGAGCTGTCAGTGAGGTGAGCAGTGTGTAGGAGGTAGTGGAGGTATGACAGGAGTGACAGAGAGGAAGATGGAATAATGCCTGGATTACAGTTTAATAATTTATTTCATTTTATTAGCAAAAATTCCATTATGAAACGATTAAATTTGATGTTGCAATACAACAAAAAAACAGAAATAATCACTGGGAGGTGTATGTGTGTGTGTGTGTGGGTGGGTGTGTGTGAGACAAGGTGTGTGAGTGAGTACTTTCGGGAGGCTCTGTACATCCTGTACCTTTTTCTGTCAGCACACATATTACAGGCCGCTTCAGAGATGTAGTGACACATGGGAGAAATATTCCTCTACCTCTTTTTTCAGGAACTGGTGGAACCATTCTACCGTTCTTTATCTTAAGTTCACTTCAATTTCTTTAGTTCAGGTTCTTTCTCTGTTTATTTATCTACATACATACATAATGGAGGGACTGTTTAGAAGAATAACATGGGGGAAGTTGTACAACCCCAACTACACATATGAACCATGTTTGAATGCTAACTAGCTGCTAATGTAAAGCGATTTGTCCTGTACAAATTTGGTTACAGGGACGGGATGTGATGTGTTTATGAGTACTTGACAAATGACACAAGTCTTTATTATTCTATGCACCTTCCTGGGAAAATAATTTTACTTCTAATATGTAATTTTTTTATTATCTAAGTACACTATATGGCCAAAAGTATGTGCACCCCTGAACATCACACCCATATGTGGTTCTTCCCCAGACTGTTGCCACAAAGTTGGAAGCACACATTTATACAGAATGTCTTTGTATGTTGTAGCTTTACAATTTCCCTTCACTGGAACTAGGGGGCAAGGTGGCTTAGTGGTTAGCACCATTGCCTCACACCTCCAGGGCTGTGGAATCCCCGTGCTTCAGCGGTTTCCTCCAGGTACTCTGGCTTCCGCCCGCAGTCCAAAGACGTGCAGTGTATTCTGATTGGTATTTATGGCCTGTAGTGTGGGAGATTGTGCCTTGTGTCCCGTCCAGGGTATCCCCTGCCTTGTGCCCCGAGTTACCTGGCATAGGCTCCAGGTTACCCCGCAACCCTGTGTAGCATAAGGGGTATGGATGGAACTAAGAGACTCAAACCTGTTCCCCTGTGCACAAAGCGAGCTCCATGAAGACATGGTGTGTGAAGGTTGGAGTGGAAGAACTCGAGTGTCCTGCACAGAGCCCTGACCTCAACCCCACTGAACACCTTTGGGATGAACTGGAACACCGACTGCACCCCAGACCTCCTCGAC